GAGGAAATGGAGGGGACTCTCAGAGGAAAAGGGAATGGGTAAGGAGAGAAGGGGAAAGAAAGCAGGATTAGAGAATATTAAGGCATGGAGGAGCCATGACTAATCCATTATTCATGTCACTGATTTCAGAGGATGTCAAACAAAGGAAATCAGCATAGTCAAACTTTGAGCATTCACTAGCCTTGCCCAAAAAGTACTTGCAGGGCAAAGAACGCAAGCGATTTGGTTGGATGATTTTCAGGGTCAAATGGACGACTTATATGGCGAAAAATACGGTACGAGTCGAAGAGAAAATAATAGAATTTATACCTCAGTAAAACTCACCTCTCTTCACATATTAAAACTCACTTCTCTTTCGCATATTAAAACTCACTTCTCTTTCGCATATTAAAACTCACTTCTCTTTCGCAGATATTTGGAGATGAGTTTCAATCCTGACATGGGATTCAGAAAGATAATTTTAAGATAATTTTCAGTGCAGTCGCCAATAATATCGTCGGACGTCAGATAGCCTGGACCTTCTTGAAGAAGCACTGGAATGACATCTTAACGTCCTCGTAAGTCACACAAATATTCGTTATCAGTAAACGTTAGAGGTTATTACCCTCCCCCACCCCACAACTAAAAATAAAATTGCCACCTCATTTTAAAATCCCCCAAAAACATGTTTCAGATCCCTATCCCCCCTATCCCACCCCCTTTTACTTCCACCAATAAGCGGTTTGAGAGAGCGGAGTCCCGCCCCCGCGGCGGTGGGTTTCCGATCCCTTCACCCCCCTTCTCCCTCGCCCCCCTCATCCACCCCCTTCTTTTCCTATCCTCATAGCCCCCCCTGTTTTTCCGTTCCCTTTTCCGCCCCCTCCAGTCCACCCCTCCTTCCACCTACATCTCAAAAACACAGACAAATATAAAAGTACCCCCCCTGTTTCCACTTTCCCTGCCCCTTTCATTTCTTCCACCCTCTCTCTCCACCCCCTCAGTCTCCCAACCATGTTTCCATGTATACCTATCCCATCATACCACCCCTTATCTAACCTACAAGATCACCCCAAAAACAACTAGTTTCACGTTTCACCTTCCCCTCTCATCCACCCCATAAAATATCCACCCCTCAAGTCTCCCCCCTGTTTTCCGTTCCCTTCCCTCATTCCACTCCTCCTTCCACACCTCCTAAGATCCCCTCCTCTGTTTCCGTTCCCCTTCCCCCCCCTTATCCACTCCCAAGTCCCCCCTGTTTTCCTTCCTTCCCCATTTATCCAAACGCCCCTTCCACCTCAAGTCCCCTTCCTGTCTTCCGTTCCCTTCCCCACTCATCCAACCCCCATTCACCATCTCATCCCCCTGTTTCCGTTTCCCTCCTATTCCCTCATCCACCCCCTGTCCACCTCAAAGTCCCCCTTTTCCGTTCCTAGCCCCCCTCAGTTCCACCCCCCATATAACCTCCACCCTCAAGTCCCCCTGTTTCCGATCCCTTCTCCCCTTATCCACCCGCCTTCACCTCAGGTCCCCCCCTGTTTCCGAACCTTTCCCTTCCCCACCCCTCAACCCCCCTGTTCCACTCAATCCTCCCTGTTTCCGTCTCCCTCCCCCCTTCATCCACCCCCTTCCACCTCAAGAGTCCCCCCTGCTTTCCGTTTCCCTTCGCCCACCTTAAATCACCCCTTCTTACTTCCACCTCACACCGCTCCCCCCTGGTTTCCGTTCCCTTCCTCCCTCATCACCCCATTATTCCACCTCCAAGTCCCCCCTGTTTCCGTTCCCCTTTCCCTTCTCCACCCCTCTCTCCACCTCAAGTCCCCTGTTCGTTCCCTTCCCCCTTCATCCCAACCCCCTTCACTTCAAGTTCTCCCTGTTTCCGTTCCCTTCCCCCTCATTCCCCACCCCCTTCCCACCTCACAGTCCCCTGTTTCCGTTCCCTTCCACCTCATCCACCCCATTCCACCTCACATTCCCCCTGTTCCCGTTCCCTTCCCCTCATCCACCCTCCTTGTTCTATACCCCTCCTACTGCTTCCACTAAGTCCCCCCTGTTCCGTCCCTCCCCCCCCTATCCACTCACCTCAAGTCCCCCCTGGTTTCCGTTCCCTCCCTCCCTTATCACCCCCCCCTCCTCCACCTCAAAAGTCCCCCCTGTTCCGTATCCCTTTCCCCCTCACCTCCACTCCCATCCACCATTTTCCACTCCCCTGTCCCCTCAAGTCCCAACCCCCTGTTTCCGTTCCCTTATCCCCCTTATCCACCCCCCTTCTTTCACACTCAAGTCCCCCCGCTTGTTTCCGATAAATAACCCCTGTTCCTCCCCCTTTTCCCTCTCATCCCCCCCACCCCTTTCCACCTAAAAGTCCCCCCTGTTTCCGTTCCTTCCCCCTCTTATCCACCCCTCTATCCACCCCTCAAGTCCCCCTCATGTTCCGTCTCCCTATCCCCCTTATCCACCCCCTTTCCACCTCCAAGTCCCCACCTGTTGTTACCCCTTTCCCTCATCCACCCCCCCCTTCTCTCACCTTCAAGTCCCACCCCCTGTTCCGTTCCCTTCCTCTAATTATTAAATCCAACCCCTAATTTTCTGTCCACCTCAAGTCCCCCCACGTGTTTCCGTTCCCTTCCCCTTCCAAAACCAACCACACCACCCCCTCTCCACCTTCCAAGTTCCCCCCCACGCTAATAATAACTATATGTCCGAATAATAATAATAATGATTAATAATAACGGTTATAAATAAAAGTATTGTATTTATTCTTCACAGTAAAAATAATAAATCAAGATAATTTAAGTTATGACGAACTTCTATTAGAACAGTCCTGATGTAATTCATAAATCTAATCTAATCCTTGTTAAGACAGAAGCTATTATCCCCAAATTTTACTCTACCGACTATCATCTCTTAATTAAAACATAAAATAAAAAATCTGTAATAAAGGGTTTCGTTACTTTCAGCAAGAAGCAACACAGAGGATACTTGCTGAATAAAATAACCCATTTTTTAAATACGAATCGTGACCTGACAGACGTAAGACAAGCTTCATAAGTTTTATTGTTTGAGGATATGTTGTTTTGACTATATAATTGTTTACTAACGGTTGAGAAAGTGTAAATTGGAGAATGAGGTATAACACAAAAGATAAATAATTTATAGATAAAGAATGTCAATAGTTTTCATGAATTTTCCAAACAGGATCACATTCATACAGATTTTTTTTTTTTTTTTTTTTTTTGTAATAACGCACTGTATTTAAGCACGGAAATAGTATATGCTCTTAATAAATTCCGCATTAAGTTACACTTCCTCCCGCAGCTGCAAGCGTTTTTGCAAGACAGGAACACCGATCTGACAGAGGTTGCAAGAACCGCTGAACAGGTGTTGGAAAGAACCAAAAACAACGTCATGTGGATGGAGGCGAATGTCCCCGAGATTGTTAAGTTTCTGGAAGATCATGGTTATGCATCTCCAGAGGCCCTTTGAAGCTGGCCGAGGAATGCTCTTTGAATCCTTTGCTATTGTATATA